CTGGCCCCTGTAGTTCTGGTAGTGGCAGATAACAGACAATGTCTCAGCATGTGCCTGTGGCTGACCCTGAGAGGAAGAGGAGGAGTTTCCAGAGTTAGTCTCCCTGTACATTTCGGTGGTTAGAAACCAAACCCAGGTTATTGGGCTAGGCAGCAGCGCCTTTTCTCAGTTATATTGCTGGGCCACACTATTTTTGGTTCATTAATATGTAATTTTAAAATGCTTCATTTAAAATAAATTTGAAAATGTTATGACTATGATTTATCCCTGGGAAATCCACATTGAATTTTCTGACAGAGCCTCTGACTGCCTTGGAGCTCAGCAACAAGGCTAGAGTCGCTGGACAGCCAGTCCCAGGGCTCTACCAGGCCCTTGCTTGTCCAGGGCTGGGATTACAAATTCCTGTCACCTCCCTGGCTTATATTGTGGGTTCTCAGGATCAAGCTCAGGTCCTCCTGCCAAGGGCAAGTCATTGCTGACTCAATCACCTCACTAGCTCCCTTGCATGGCTCTCAAAACAATCTTTCCCACATAGCCCCTCACCTGATCCTTGGCATGACAGCTAGCTGCTCAACTAGCTAGGGTTTCAGCTTTAGTCTGCTGGCCTGTAGGAGAAGAACCAGTGTCAGTGTGGCAGCCATGCTGATCCTCTGTCTGCCTCTCAGCTGTTCTCTGGGTTCAGACAACATTAGGGGTCCAGGGCAGCAAACAGCTCTGCAGCAGCCAATCAGGGTCTGGATTGAGAGTCCCCAGGACCTGAGGCCAGTCCTCAGCTGTCCTTCTGCACAGCACAGCCAATCAGAGGACAGCTCTCCTGTCCACTGCCCCTTGTCCATGTCCTTCTCCCTTTGTTTCCTTCCCCGATCTTGACCTCATGTCCCTTCCCTGCTCTCCCTGCTCTGCACTCACCAGGCCTCCCTTTTGTCTCCCTAGAACCTGACTCCCTGGCTTCCTTGTGAGTGAAGGCTGCTGCACCCTGCAGATTCAGTCTCAGGGTTTGAATCCCAGTCAGATCTGCTGCTGCCTCCCAGACTGCTGCTCTCCACCTCTCAGCTGCTCTTCTTATCCATTGCAGGGCTGAGCCCTTCTGAAAACCACTAACTACATCTTCTAACTTTATTTCTGTGCCTTCGGTTACACTCCACTATCTGCTATCTCTGCTCCTATCTTATAGTCTTGGACTCTCAATGTATTTAAATCTGCTCTGAACCCAGTCCACACTTAGCTCTTGTTTTGCATGTGGCAACTTCCATGAAGTTCTAGAGATGACTTCCGCTAGTTCCTGTCATTCCAGAACATTCTGTGTACTAATTGGGCAAAGAAGGTTCAGAGCAGCAATGTGTCACTTGTGACATACTGCCTGGGACATCTCTGAGAGTGAACACAGCTGGTCCGTGAATAGAGTCGTGTCGTGAGATGTGGGGGCAGAGGCTGTGTTGGTCTCAGGGCTGGTTCTGCAGGAGGATCAATCCATCCTTCCTTATGACAAGGTTCCATCAGGTCCCTGAAGGGCAGGAAGACATGATTGTTCCAGAGGAAGCGGCACGATTCTTCCTGAGTAACACATGCAGTAGCGGTAACTCCCCATTTCCTTCTGTTTCCTGGCACAGATTGCCTTCTCCATTGTCTATTGATTGTACTTCCATGTAGGTCACTGTGAAGGCCGCCTCTCTAATACCTGCTTTTGTAGCCTTCCTCACAGTCCCCATGGACCTTGGATCCCTTGACCTGAGCCAGGAACAACCACTCCCAGCTCACATGGACACATGCCTTTATCCATCCATCCTGCCCTTGGAGATGCTGAACACAGAACCATTGGGATGAATTGACCACAAGTGGGCAGTCAGTCAGGTGAGGGAACAGGGCCTATTGTACCTGTCAGAAAGCCATGGCCCCTTTTATTGGATGGGGTCTCATATAGCCCAGGAGGGGCCTTGAACTTGTTAAGTAGCCAAAGATGACCTTGAACTCCTACAGATCCTCTTCTCTGCCCTCCCAAGTGCTGGGTGACAGGTGTGCCCCATTGTGCCCCTTTGTTTCCCACTGGAGATAAAACCAAGGGTCCTGTGCATGCCAGGCAGGTAAGCACTCCACCAGATGAACCTTGTCTTTAGCCTCAGTGAGGTTTGAGGAGAGGCCCTCCTGATCATGAGTGCTCACCTCCAGGTTTCATCTGGGCTTTGCCCTACTGTCTGGGGTCTGTGGGTAAATAATCACTGAATTGCTAAGTAACCAAGCAGGTGCTTACCTGATGAAGCTGACATTTGTCATCTGCTAGTCCCCACCATTTTTATAACCGGCCCTGGTGGCTTCTACAGGATCCCTGCTGCCTCTTGTGTTCAGCCTCACTGCTGCCACCTGCTGGATCCTTAATCATGAGCTCTGTTCTAGTTTCAAGTCCCGGACTCAGTAGGACTCAGCTGTGGGATGGTTTCTGTCCAGGATGCTGTAATCAGTCTCCTGCAGTGAGAACCATGTTTCCCCTACAGCAGTGACAGGGCCCTGCAGCCATGATACTTTCACAGGTGAGGGACACTTTCTGTGGAAGAGCTGCTTGGGGCTGTGGTGTGCACACATGGGGCTTTTACATGCATGTGACCATGCGGAGTGTCAGACTGCAGTGTTAGAACCTGGCTGCTGCTCAGGCTGTAGCACATGTGTGCTCTGACCACACAGAATAAATAGATAAGTAAGTATAAATTTTTGTTTGTTTTTTTGAGACAGGGTTTCTCTGTGGCGCTCTGCCTACGTTAGAACTTACCAGGCCTCCCTTTTGTCTCCCTGGAAACTGTATCCCTGGCTTCCCTGTGTGTGCAGGCTGCTGCACCCTGCAGATTTAATCTCAGGGTTTGATTCCCAGTCAGACTTCTGCTGTGTCTGAGGCCACTTCTCACCCACTTCTCAGTTCCCTTTCTTATCTCACTGGAGGCTTGAGTCTTTCTGAAGACTGTGGGACCCCATGTTCAACTATTTATTTCTGGGCTCTTAATTACACTCCAGTATCTACTCATCTCTGCTCATATCCTGTAGTCTTCTATTTACCATGGATTTAAATCTGCTCTGAAATCAGTCAACACTTGACTTTTGTTTTGTGTGTGTACAAGGTCTCAATAAGCTCAGGTTGGCCTTCGCCTTTCTATGTAACTACAGATGGCCTTCAACTACTGGTCCCCTCTGCATTTCCCTAGTGCTGGGGTTACAGATGTGACCCACTGTGTCTCCTTTTTTTCTTAGAATCCTTATGAATTATGAAAGATAAATCATTTATCTCAACAAAAATGCAACTCAGTGTTGAATACGGATTGCACTGAATTTTTAGAGTTTTGTGTGTTTTAATGACTCAATGTATAAATTTTTCCATTTTGCAAATAAGAGGTCACCTTACATTTATTAATATTTCCCTAAATCTTATCAAATTTATTTGTGGCAGTATGTATATGCATGTGCATATTTGCATATGAACACACACATATGTGAATGACAGAAGACAACCTTGGGCAGGAGTTCTGCACCCTAGAGGTTGAGACAGATCGGTCATTGAATTGCTTCTTGTTGGCTGGGCAAGGCTGGCAGCACAGTAAGCCTCAGGGGTCCTACCATCTCTGCCTGCCTAAGTATCTGCCAACATGGCCAGCTTTTGTGTGTGTGTTCTGGAATGGAACCCATGTCCTGAAGTTCATGGGCAAGCACTTTGCCAAGTGAGCCGTCCCCAGCTGGTACATGACTTCTCTCGGCAGTGTTTTGTTTGTGGTGCACAGTGCTTTTACATCATTTAGTGACGGTTCTTCCTATGCATTTTCTTTTCATTTCATAGGCCCATAGCACACTGCGGTATTAAATTCTCTTTTTATGCCATACTGCCAACTCAAACAGTTGTCCTTTTACAGAGTTCTCGCTTCCTGTGAGATGCTGTCCCTGAACTCCGGTCTTCCATGAGCCCTGCTTAGCAGCACAGCTCCTCTCAGATGAGCAGTTAGCCCTGAAGCACATGTAGGCCCCTTGATTTCGCAAGAGAAGGCTTTTTGTTCATCTTCATTTTATCCTCTTTCCCGGCAAAGTCTCTAAGGAAGTTAAACTCAGTTTCAGTCCTTGCTGAGTACAGTCCCCTTCCCGTCCTTCTGTTTTCTGTACTCTTCCCTGAACAAGTAAATCTTTCTCCAACTTCCCAAGCTTGGGTGAGGCCCTGTCCTCACCCAAAGCAAAGGACCATTCACCTTTGCTTCCACCAGAGGAAGATCAACATCACACAGACGGGGGTTATGAGCACAGCTGTGGCCATCACCACCCCGACCGTGGCTCCCAGGTTCACAAGAGAAGGATTCCTCTGGCCCTCTGTGTCCTCCAGTCCAGCTGTGGTGACTGCAGAGGTGACGATGGAGGGGCTCTGCATGGGGGTGCTGACTGCTGGGGAGAGATGAGGAGTGAGCAGATGCTCCCTGGATGAGGAGGGATGGGGGGAGTGTCACATCTGTCTCCTCTGTGGGAGGTGGGATGGAGAGCAGCTGTTAGAATTTCACAGAGAGAGTGGAACACATGCTGAAGGCTGACTCTAGGATAACACAGTCCCTACCTGTCCTGGCTGTGTGTCCTCAGATTTTCACTTAGTCACAGATAATTAAGCCATAGAAATAGAGTTGGTTTTGTCACAGATGTGGATAATGAACAAAAATGACCAGTCCATATAGTGGTTGCTGCTCAGACCTTAGAACTCGAGATTGATCCCTAATGTTCATATAAAATGCTGGGTGACCTGAGCACGGCCTTTAATCTTAGCCCTAGAAGCAGAGGCAGGCAGATTTCTGTGAGATAAAGTCAGCCTGACATATATATATTTGAATTATAATGCCAGTACTGAGCAGGTAGAGGCAGGCATGTCTCTGGGGCTCACTGGCCATACACCTTAACCTAGCTGGCAATCCTGAAGCCAACGAGAGATCTTGTCCCATAAAATAAGAAGGATGACCGCTGAGGTTGTCTTTTAGTCTCCACAGGCACTCCACTGTGGTGTTAGTTTGGAACAAAATGGGGTGATCTAGGTGGAGGGCTAAGGCCTAGAAAGTGGGGTTGGGCTCTCTCTGAGCAGAAAATGGCAGAACAGGTCAGTGGAGACAGCAAAGACTTGTCACAGCTCCAAGGGAAAGATCCTGTTGTCAGAGGCTCAGGCAGAGTCAAGGGAAAGGAATATGAGTTGGGTAGCCTGAAGGGACACCTAGAGAACAAGGAAGCAAGAGAGGCATCAAAGGCAGAGCCAGGGTGGCTCACCGTGAGTGATGATCAGTTGGGTCCCAACAGCTGACTTCAAAATCTTCCTGCCTTCTCCTGTGTTCAGATGAACTTGACAGAAGTATTTGTTCTGGTCCTTTTCCTGAAGGTCTAGGATTCTGAGGACTCCAGATGTCTGAGGCTGTGTCCAGTTCAGGATGAGCCTGTCCTTAAAATGGGCATGTATGAAACCGGAGGTGGCGTTGTAGATAGGCTCCCCGATGAAGTTCTTCCATCTCCAGAGAATCCTCATCTGCGGATTCTTCGCAAATTCCCAGGGGAAGTAGAAGGAGAAGGGGATCTCAATGGAGCCGCCCTGGACACCAGAGAGGCGTGCTGGTTGGTTCACCCCGTACAGTCTTTTTCTGTTGGATCCTGCTGAGTGCCCTGGGAAGGATGGGGGAGAATCCGAAGTCACTGCAGGAGTTGGAAAGGACAGCCCAGAGCTTCCTGAGTGTTCACCCAGTGTGGAACAGAGGGCACGACTGTCTCTATGGCTGGGACAGGAAAGACAGGGAAAGGTTGGGTTGGACCCACTCTGAAAGATGAGCCCTCTCTTTGGGCAGAGAGTACTGGCTGGCTCCTCGAGCAAACACCTTTCCACATGACAGTCCACTCTTCCCAGCCCCACTCAGCCCTCCTGTGGTTAAGTCCCAGGCAGTGAACTCCACACACTCACCAGCTTGCAGGGATGCTGCTGGCAGCAGCAGAAGCAGGACCCAAACCAATGCTCGAATCCCTCCAGGAAATGAGACCAGCAGCGCCATCAGGGAGAACAGGAGTGACACCAGGGTGCTCAGGAATCAAGAGAACAATTGTTAAGTGATCCACATCCCCTGGGCCACCTCATGTGAAGGACCGAGTGGGCTCAGGACCTCCTCATCTCACCTCCTTGTGGCCAGCAACTTCCTTTATCATTCTGGATTCTTCTTTTCCTATGTTGCAGAAGATCCCCTTTGTGGTTAGCCACAAACGACCAGGCCCTTGGACCAACCCCCTATTTTTTTGATTTTACCTCTGCCTCCTGGGCTCTCATATCTTCCTGCTTGACCTCCTGTCTGCCCAGTCCTTTTATTTATATACCATGTTGTCCCCTTTCCCTCCCTCCTTATCTCTACCTCCCCTCCCCACTCTCTCATACATCCTCCTATTTTGCTGGTTCTCTGTGTGTCTCAGTCTCTCATCCCAAGGAATTGACCGCCTCCTGGACCTGCACATGCTCTCTCAGGGAGAGAAAAGCTGACCCATGTCTCTGACCAGCTGAATGCCATGCTCAGATAAGAGATGCTGATGGTGGAGGTGCTGGAGTAGATGCTACCTCAGCCCCAACTCTAGAATGTGGTCCCGTATTCTGCTCTTCGAATACTTCCTGATCCTCAGTAATCCCTTAATGTTCTCAGGCTGAACCAAGGCCTGGTGAACCCTCAGTGTCCTTTCCACTCCCTCCTGCCCAGTTCACAATGTTCCTAGGCTTCCCAGGTGATAGTCCCCTCCCTAGACATGGGTTCTAAAGCTTATCCTGTTTCTGCAAGAGCGTTGCTGCCCTCCCACCCACAGAGGTAGTCCTGGCTCAGACCATGCCACCATCAAATTGCAGATCTGAGGGGACTCCAGTCTCACTAAGTCCTTGAGGGATCCCGTGATCCACAGAGGTGTCAGCCATGCTACAGTGCATCACTCAGCCCTACCTCGAAGTCCAGGGACAGGTGACACCTTCCACGAAGTTCTAGAGATGATTTTCTTTAACTGTGGTCATTAGCGAATGTGGGTAAAGAAGGCTCAGAGTAACTATGTGTCACTCATCACGTATTGCCTGCGACATCCTTGAGATGGACATAGATGTCCTGTGACTAAGATGTGATGGGTGGAGGCAGAGGCTGTGGGGACCTCAGGACTGGTTCTGTAAGAGCGTCATCCCTCCCTTCCCCAATACAATCAGCGTGATTCAGCTATGGCAGGAAGACATGATTGTATCAGAGGAAGTGGCATCAGTCTCCCTGAGTGACACATGCAGAGGTGACTTCCCATTCTGGACACTGATTGCCTTCTCCACGCTTCTCTGCAGGCGGGAAAGCAGCCCACCCTCTCTCATATCTGCTTTCTCTGCTTTCCTCACAGCCCACATGGTCCTCAGATCCCTTGGCCCTAGCCAGGCTCTGAGTTCCTGTGACTTCTCTCTTTGTTGACACAGTTATGCCCGTTGTTCCCTGAGGACCCAAAGGTATGGAATCTTTGGGATACACTGGTTTTTAATGCAAAGCTTAGTTAGAAGAGGAGACAGATGACCCACTTCCTTTGTCAGTAGAGTCTTTGTTTTGCATAGCTCAGGCTCTGTAGGTGAGGATGACCACAACCCCCTCCCACATCCCCCTGTGCTAGGATTGCAAGCATGCACCACCATACCCAGTGTATGTGATGCTGGGGACCCGACCCACATCTTCACGCAAGCTAAGTACCAGCTGAGCTACATCTCAACCCCAGCAGGATCTTCAGAGGATGCCCATCTTTAGTTTCTGTCTGGCTTTTTTTCCTACTGTCTGTGGGCTATGGGAAGAAGGTCACTTGATTGCCAGGTCATCCAAAGAAGCAAGCTCACAGGGGTGCCACGGGCCAGGTACTTGTCCTCAGGAACCATGACAGAGCAGGCTCTGAAGACCTACAGCTCTTCTTGGCCTCAGACCTCACACCTCACTGTTGTTACCTTCTGTCTCCCTAAAGCCAAGTGACACATTCCTTTTGCTTTCAATGCCCTGAACCCAGGTGGAAGCCCATAAGACTGTCCTCTAATGGGGCTTGTCAAGGACCTGCGGTACTCAGCTTCCTTAACTGTTAATGATATTTCCCCAATATGAGAGACAAGACCCAGGAGTCACCTGCAGCCTTGGTACTATCATGTGGGAGGAGGAACTTTCTGGAACACAAAGGCCTGGGGTTTTGATGATCAAAGCCAGGGACACATGAAGGAATACTGTCTGCTCCCAAGATGTCCTGAGGCCATGCTTATCCCCTCTGCCCACAGCCAGAGCTGCCCTGCCACCAACACAGGTCGTTTACTCATTGGCTGTTCTCCTTCTTTTTCTACCATCTGGGTTTCCACAGTGGGCAGGAACCTCCTACGTGTGCCCTTGTCCCTTACTCTCCCCTATGCCACCATTCTGCTTAAACAAAAACAATCGCCGGGGGGGTGGTGGTGCACGCCTTTAATCCCAGCACTTGGGAGGCAGAGGCAGGCAGATCTCTGTGAGTTCGAGACCAGCCTGGTCTACAAGAGCTAGTTCCAGGACAGGCTCCAAAACCACAGAGAAACCCTGTCTCGAAAAAAGCAAAAAAAAAAAAAAAAAAAAAAAAAAAAAAAAAAAAAAAAAAAAAAAAAAAAAAAAAAAAAAAAAAAAAAAAAAATCCACAAAGGGATTGCTGCAAAACCAGATGCCGTGTGTTCAGTGCACCCAGATGGTAGGAAGAGAGAACTGACTCCCAAAAGCTGTCCTCTGACCTCCACATGTGCACTGTAGCCTTCATGGGTACACACAAGTTCTTGTAGCCACCCATAATAAAAAATAAATGCCTAAGGGAACAGAGAGATTGCAAAGGGGCTGTGAATTTGTACTGCTCTTGAAGAAGCCTGGAGTTTGATTCCTAGCACTCAATTTAGGTAGCTTACAAGCCAGGGTTTTGATGTTTCCTTTCAGAACTTGGGTCAGATTAAACCAACACCCACAAGGGACCATCAGCTCCAACCTATGGAATAGCCGGAAAAAAAAAAAACACTGAAATACAAGACAGGATGTTATAAAAATGCGTGTCCATGGTCAGATATAAAATGGAGTCACTCTTGTCAATGTCCCAAAAGCTGGAAGAAGCAGATGTATTTGAGAACAATTGCCTGAGGGTAAGAACCGGGTCACAGCCTTACATGGAGATTTGTGAAGAAATCTTACAGGGTAGGAGAGATGGCTCCATGCTTGTAATCCTAGCACTGGCTGCTCTTACAGAGGACCTGGGTTTGGTTCCAGCATCCACATATAGGCTCATAACCACCTGTGACTTCTGTTCTAGGGGATTCAATGCCCTCATCTAGCTTCCGCAAGCACAACACATATGCAGTACACATATACATTCCGACAAAACACTAATACACATACAATAAAACAATGTTTTAAAAAAGAGAAGGAAATCTTACAAGAGAAAAGTCCAGATGTGTGGGTGCATGGAAGTCCAGGAGAGGTCTACACACATCCAAGCTTGTCCTGAATCAAAAATTCCAAGCTCGAATTTGATCTAACACACCTGACTTTGAAGAAGACAAGTATCACAGATGGGGGCAGTTGGGTTTTTTAAATTTTTAATTTTTTTTAAAATAAAGCAAGCTATATTTTTTCATTTTACATACCAATCCCAGTTCCCCTCCTCCCATTGCCTCCACCAACCTCCCTACCCCACTCATCATCCACTCCTCAGGGAGGGTAAGGCACATTGCTTTGGGGAAGGTCCAAGGCCCTCCCTACTATATCTAGGCTGAGCAAGACATATATACTACTGTATCCATCCAAAGAGAATAGGTTCCCAAAAAGCCAGTACAAGCAATAGGGATGAATCTGGTGCCACTGCCAGTGCTCTGACAGTCTGCCCCAGCTATACAACTGCCACCCATATTCAGAGAGTCCGGTTTGGCAGATTTTTGAAAATTTATTTTATAAAATTTTGGACTCGTTTATTCTTTTATTCTGTGTGTATGGGTGTTTGCCTCCATGTATGTCTATGCACCACATGTGTGCCTGTTGCCTGTGGAGGTCAGAAGAGGGCATTGTAACTCCTGGAACTAGAGTTACAGACAGTTGTGAATCACTGTGTGGGTGCTAGGAATTGAACCTGAGTCCTATGCAAGAGCACCAAGCTCGCTTAATCACAGAGCCACCTTTCCAGCCCCAGTGGGAGTGGTTTTAAGGACGAAGGAAAACTTCAGCTGATGTGTGATGGGAACCCAGAATAAAGACACTGGATAGAACCAGAAGCCCTCCCTCTAGGCTCCTCCACATAACGTGTGGGCAAGGGTACTTTGTTTAGTAAAGAGAAAAATGATTATTTTTTTACTGATTCCAAACATGTTTTGTGAGTCCATGTCATATGGAAAAATCAGAAGACCACAAGAACAATGTGTTTATTTTGAGCCTCTCCCCCCCCACACACACACCCTGAGACAGGGCTTCTCTGTAGCTTTGGAACCTGTCCTGGAACTAGCTCTTGTAGACCAGGCTGGCCTTGAACTCACAGAGATCCACCTGCCTCTGCCTCCCGAGTGCTGGGATTAAAAGCGTGCGCCACCACCGCCCGGCTTTGAGCCTCGTTTTTGTGCTCTGTTGTATAGTTTATATGACACTCGTTTAAGGTCATGTGTATTTGCCTCAGCCGTTGTTGAAAGAACCAGATTGCCTCATTCTTGGGCACTTTTTGTTCGGCCACAGGGTAAGAGGACATTTTGCAGAAGTCGGTTCTCTCCTTCCACCATGTGGACCCCAGGGAATGAAACTTGGTTCATCTAGCTTGGCAGAAAGCACCTTTTACCCACGGAGCCACCTTGCTTACCTCAGTTTTACTCCCCTTATCCACAGCTATGCCTTTGTTCTGCAAAGTGCAGATGGAGTGCCAGAGGTCGAAAGGACGAGTGACGGGCGAGGAAAAGAGAGAGTGGTAAAGCTAGGGAGCGCCAAGAAACCCTCCAATTTGGTTCACTTTTGGTTTTTTAAAAATCACGGACTTTGGGCCAGGCAGTGGTGGGGTACACCTTTAATCCCAGCACTCGGGAAACAGAGGCAGGCGGATCTCTGTGAGTTCAAGATCAATCTGGTCTACAGAGCGAGTTCCAGGACAGGCAGTGCTACCCAGAGAAACCCTGTCTTGAAAACCAAACCAAACAAACAAACAAAAACAA